AGCTAAGCAAAAGATTCATCAGGGTAACTAGGGATCCCAGGGAGGCTAGTTTTCTATTCCAGCGACTCAGTGCTGCAGTTAAGAGGGGTAATGCCTGCTCTGCTGTATTCTAGGTATGCGCCACCGCTTTGAGCAGCTAGATGAGATTTTCACATTGTAATCTGTGACAAACACGTAGCAGTATGTACTTGAAATGCTTCCGCCAAACGTTATATTCTGTATACGCTCTCTCTTTACCAGCAGTGTATTTTTTAAAGTCCGTGTACCTATTTTTTAATAAATAAATATATATATTTAAAAATATATAAATAATATATATATAAATTTTTAAAATTATTTTATATATATATGCTTCGTATGAGGGACTAAAATGCCGGAGCAATGGGGTAGTAACCCCTTCTCCTGTATACAATTACTAAAAAAGGAGAAGAAGAAAAACTTTATAAAACTGGGTTGCTTAAATGTGCGTGGATGTAGTGCGGATGACAAGAAACAGATGATTGCTGATGTTATGAATGAAAAGAAGTTGGATGTCCTGGCCCTAAGCGAAACAAAGTGAAGGGGGTAGGAGAGTTTCAGTGGGGGGAAATAAATGGGATTAAATCTGGAGTATCTGAGAGGGGTTAGAGCAAAGGAAGGGGTAGCAGTATTTTTTAAATGATCAGTTATGGAAGGAAAAAAAGAGAATATGAATGTGTAAATTCAAGAATTATGTGGATTAAAGTAAAGGTTGGATCGAGAAGGGGGTCATAATAAGCGTGTATGCACCGGGAGAAGAGAGGGAAATGCAGAGGAGAGAGAGAGATTTTGGGAGATTTAAAGTGAATGTATGGGAAAGCCTTTGAACCAAGTGAGAGAGTAATTGTGGTAGGGGACTTGAATGCTAAGTAGGAGAAACTTTTGAGAGGGTGTGGTAGGTAATTTTTGGGGTGCCAGGGGGAAAAATGATAATGGGGCCCTTTGATTGAACTTTGTATAGAAAGGGGTTTAGTTATAGGAAATTACATATTTTAAGAAAAAGAGGAAAAATAAGTAACACGATATGATGTAGGGCGAAATGACAGTAGTTTGTTGGATTATGTATTGGTAGATAAAAGACTTTTTGAGTAGACTTCAGGATGTACATGTTTATAAGGGGGCCACAGATAATCAGATCACTTTCTATTTTTAGCTACACTGAGAGTAAAAGGTAGTTTGGGATACAAGGAGAATAGAAGCATCAGGGAAGAGAGAGGTGAAGGTTTTATAAAATAAAAGAGGAGGCAGTTAGGGTAAGATATAAACAGCTATTGGAGGATAGATGGGCTAATGAGAGCATAGGCAATGGGGTCGAAGAGGTATGGGGTAGGTTTAAAAAAGTAGTGTTAGAGTGTTTTAGCAGAAATTTGTGGTTACAGGAAAGTGGGTGCAGGAGGGAAGAGGAGCGTTGGTGGAATGATGATGTAAAGAGAGTAGTAAGGAGAAAAAGTTAGCATTGAGAATTTTTACAAAGAGAAGTGATGCAAGGAGGGAAGAGTATATGGAGAAAAAGAGAGAGGTTATGAGAGTGGTGAAGCAGTGTAAAAAAAAGAGCAAATGAGAGAGTGGGTGAGATGTTATCAACAAATTTTGTTGAAAATAAGAAAAAGTTTTGGAGTGAGATTAACAAGTTAAGAAAGCCTAGAGAACAAATGGATTTGTCAGTTAAAAAATAGGAGAGGAAAACTTATTAAATGGAGAGTTAGAGGTATTGGGAAGATGGAAGGAATATTTTGAGGAATTGTTTAAATGTTGATGAAGATAGGGAAGCTGTGATTTCGTGTATAGGGCAAGGAGGAATAACATCTTTTTGGAGTAAAGGAAGACCCAGTTGTGAGTGTGGGGGAAGTTCGTGAGGCAGTAGGTAAAATGAAAGGGGGTAAGGCACCCGGGGTTTGATGGGATAAAAATAGAAATGTTAAAAGCGGGGTGGGGGATATAGTTTTTGGAGTGGTTGGTGCAATTATTTAATAAATGTATGGAAGAGGGTAAGGTACCTAGGGATTGGCAGAGAGCATGCATAGTTCCTTTGTATAAAGGCAAAGGGGATAAAAGAGAGTGCAAAATTATAGGGGGATAAAGTCTGTTGAGTGTACCTGGTAAAAGTGTATGGTAGAGTTATAATTGAAAGAATTAAGAGTAAGACGGAGAATAGGATAGCAGATGAACAAGGAGGCTTTAGGAAAGGTAGGGGGTGTGTGGACCAGGTGTTTACAGTGAAACATATAAGTAACAGTATTTAGATAAGGCTAAAGAGGTCTTTGTGGCATTTATGGATTTGGAAAAGGCGTATGACAGGGTGGATAGGGGGCAATGTGGCAGATGTTGCAAGTGATGGTGTTAGGAGGTAGGTTACTGAAAGCAGTGAAGAGTTTTTATGAGGATAGTGAGGCTCAAGTTAGAGTATGTAGGAAAGAGGGAAATTTTTTCCCAGTAAAAGTAGGCCTTTGAAAAAGGATGTGTGATGTCACGTGGTTGTTTAATATATTTATAGATGGGGTTGTAAGAGAAGTAAATGCGAGGGTTTGGCAAGAGCGTGGAGTTAAAAGATAAAGAATCACACACAAGTGGGAGTGTCACAGCTGCTTTTTGCTGATGACACTGTGCTTTTGGGAGATTCTAAGAGAAGTTGCAGAGATTGGTGGATGAATTTGGTAGGGTGTGCAAAAGAAGAAAAATTAAAGGTGAATACAGGAAAGAGTAAGGTTATGAGGAAACAAAAAGATTAGGTGATGAAAGATTGAATATCAGATTGGAGGGAGAGAGTATGGAGGAGGTGAACGTATTCAGATATTTGGGAGTGGACGTGCCCAGGGATGGGTCTATGAAAGATGAGGTGAATCATAGAATTGATGAGGGAAAAAGAGTGAGTGGTGCACTTAGGAGTCTGTGGAGACAAAAACTTTGTCCTTGGAGGAAAAGAGGGGAATGTATGAGAGTATAGTTTTACCAACGCTCTTATATGGGTGTGAAGCGTGGGTGATGAATGTTGCAGCGGGGGAGAAGGCTGGAGGCAGTGGAGATGTCATGTCTGAGGGCAATGTGTGGTGTGAATAAATGCAGAGAATTCGTAGTTTGGAAGTTAGGAGGAGGGGGCGGGATTACCAAAACTGTTGTCCAGAGGGTGGGGAAAGGGGTTTTGTTTGAGGTGGTTCGGACATGTAGAGAGAATGGAGCGAAACAGATGACTTCAAGAGTGTATCAGTCTGTAGTGGAAGGAAGGCGGGGTGGGGTCGGCCTAGGAGGGTTGGAGGGAGGGGGTAAAGGAGGTTTTTGTGTGCGAGGGCTTGGACTTCCAGCAGGCATGCGTGAGCGTGTTTGATAGGAGTGAATGGAGACAAATGGTTTTTAATACTTGACGTGCTGTTGGAGTGTGACAAAGTAACATTTATAAAGGGGATTCAGGGAAACCGGCAGGCCGGACTTGAGTCCTGGAGATGGGAAGTACAGTGCCTGCACTCTGAAGGAGGGGTGTTAATTTGTTGCAGTTTAAAAAACTGTAGTGTAAAGCACCCTTCTGGCAGACAGTGATGGAGTGAATGATGGTGAAAAATTTTTCTTTTTCGGGCCACCTGCCTTGGTGGGAATCGGCCGGTGTGGATAATATATATATATATATATATATATATAATATATATATATATATATATATATATTTATATATATATATAATTTAATATATATATATGCAATGATATATATATATATATATATATAATATATATATGCAGTAAGATATATATATATATATATATATAATATAATATATATTTTATATATATATATATATAATATTTATATATATATATATATATATATATATATATGCAATAAAATATATATATATATTATATGCAATAAAATATATATTTTATATATAATATGCAATAAAATATATATTTTATATATATATGCAATAAGATATATATATATATATATATATATATATTAATATATATATATATATATATAATATAATATATATATATAAGAGTCATTGTCGGCTACTTTAGTAACAAGACTTTGTATTCCCCCTGAACATGCAATAAATATTTTTATTAATTTTCATTTAACAAAGGATCCGATAATGATTTATTCACAATAAATAATCAGTGTTTTATCTGGACCTACAATAATTTATGTTTATTCATGATTGCTGAAGTATAACGTGACAAGAATCTTCTGTACGATACTTGACTTTGTAAACAAAGGCAGGTTTATACCCAAATCTAAGACACAATATGGCACTTATAGTATTTTATTTAAGAATACGTTTTGTCCACCAAGGATTTTAAAAAAAAAATCATGAATTAATAAAGCCTCTTGTGGACAAACGTCTCCTTAATGAAATCCCGTAAGTCTCGTATATACATACGGTACTTGGTCACAGCATTTCAGGGTGAGAGTCTACGATACTTCAGCATTCCATGGTAAGGATCTACGGTACATAATTTCTACAGCATTCCATAATAATGACCACCAATATTTGTTTATTATTTAGTATTCCTTGGCGAGAACTATAGTAGTTCAAGTTCATAAAATGAAGATTACAGTGTGTGGCTGTGAACTCCAATGTATATTTAGGGATTACATATTAATTTGTTTTTTAGCAACGCCGACATCTTTCGTATAAGATAGCAATACGAAGGTAACGTTCAGGGCTCCAGTGGCTACGTACAGTAAATAAACTAATAAAAGGACAGGTTCTAGAAGATTAAAAACGAACACTTGCACTAACAGCTATAAGCTTGTATCATTCATTGTCAAGCAGTTTTAGCTTAAACACTGTTAAAACAACTTTAATGTAAATTAAGTTTAACATGACTGTTTAACATAAAAGAACATTTAGCAGGTGACGAGAAAAGTTTGTTAGGAAGGGTAGAGAAGTTCAGTCTTTAGAAGAGGTCTGTTCAAGAAGGCATCACTGGGTCGGGATGTATACAGGTATAGTCATGAGTCAAGTAAGGCACCATCAAAGCTTTAATTGAGACTCCTTACCTGACCTTGACTATTGGGAAATGTATTTGCATCAGTAGAGTTTGAAGCAGGAGGTGCTGGGGGCATTGCGGAACCGCGAATAACTGAAGGATGGGCTGGAGGTCCACTCTGTTCTTCAAGAGGTGGTGGTGCTGGAGCCCTGATCACTGGAGTGTTGGAGGGCTGCCCTGAGCCAGGGATGTCCAAGGGAGGTCCTGTGGGTCCGTTGAGCTCTTCAATAAAAGAATTATGGCGCTGAAATGCCACCTTGACCTTTTCCTTATTGTTGAAGAGGGTCTCTTGCAGAATGTAAATCTGGGTGCCATCACTGAGACTGGTGACGTTCTCTACGAGGACACCATTTGCAGATAACTTACCTGTAAGGATAAAAATGTTAGCACATAAGAGCTTCAGCTCTACCTGTATCACTGCACTACACTGTGTAACCAGCTCAAGAGTATCTGCAATACAGAAAGGGGTCATCTGCAATTCATTTGAGCAGCGTACTGCAGTTATAGTCACGAACCGAACTTCAGTATATTAACAGGTCAAGTGTATTTTTTTACACTGTAAATGAAAGTCATCAACAATTTATGATTCAAAAAGTAATGATTGTCTGAAGATACATCATGTCTTTTGAAAACCTTCAAAAAACTACATAACGCCAGTAATTAATCATAAAGTATGACGTTGCCTTATTCTGAATATTAATAACAAAATAATGCTCAGTTAAACAATTAACACAGACATAGGTATCTATAAGTGTGCGTGTATGTGTGTTTAAATGTTCATCCCGTGTCTGATTGCATGTATGTTTATTTTCATGAACGCATGCTCGCCTTGTATGATCGTACATATGTGTACTTCTATATGTACATGCTCACCCTCGTTATCCTTAGTGATGGTCACGTTCTTGTGCGAGAAGGTAAGAAGTGTAACCCCGGTCTCATTATCCAGACGGACGTCCGAGGGTTCTAAGGGCTCGAGAACGAGGTGGTCAAGGAGAAATTGCCGACGGAGGAGGGTCAAGGCAGTGGTGCTACCGTAGAGAGGGTGGGCGGCATCCTGATGCACCAGGCTGGCCAGGGCGTGAGTCCCCGGTGCCAGGATAGTCTTGGCCTCTGTAGAAAGACAACACAAAACATGATAAGTTGTATGTTATCCTTCCCTGTGATCACAACGTCTGTCAAGGCGGGAGAGATGGAAAATGTACAGAGATTGTATATTGGGCTCATACAATGAATAACATCTAAACTACTGACATTAGGCTGAGAAAAGTAGTCTCACTGTATCGTTCAATTTTCTGGCCAGCTCAACACTAAAATATATTAAACTTACTTTGCTTAAGCTTTATAGAAAAATGCTTTTAAAGGAGATTATTTTAATTACCCATCCTAGGCCAAATGACCTGTTGTTAACTTTCCATTCGCAAGTTTGTGCTAATTCAACCGTGTAACTCCTATTGTTATTGTCATTATACAGGCCAGCCTTACTGGTACTTTGTCCTTATGAACCAACATATTATTGCTGGCATGTAATGGGGAGCCACAACAGAGTGAGGGAAAGAAGGAAGGAGCCACAACAAAGGTGGAAGTATTAACACAGTCATAGTGGAAGAAAATCACATTGTATTTTTAAACAAAATTGGGTGTGTTGCAACTCGTCTCTACGTGATAGTTTCGCACTGTAAACAAAGTTAAGATATTTCTTCCTATCGTATTCGGTCGCACAGGATGTGTTTCTTACAACAAATGAAGCGTCAGCCCGATCTGGGAGACCTCAGAATAACGACGCGGATACAGTTAGGTATTTTACTTAGAGTTCATTACATATGGGAATTACTAAAGTAACGTTCCAGTAGAGCTGGAGTTACCTGGGAATCAGCAACTCTCACGATTGCATTTCCCGATCGAAGGGGGAATATAATTTTGTAAGGATATTATTTCAGAATCAGACAAGTACTATAACATCAAATAAAAATAATTTATATATAACTATATATTCATATATATGGAAACAGTGAAAATTCATTGTTGCAATAACTGCGAAAATCAGCCTGTAGAGTAAGAGGGGAGTCAGATCACACAGAGGGAATGTGGGTGCCCTCCACGACCCTCCCCCCAGTCCAATTTACCATTGCTTTAATAATAGGCTTGGTATTGTGCAGGTAACTAATGTTTCTGGGAAGCTGATTAGCTTCATGAAGGACACGCCCCTGGTAGCCTTCCTTTTCCTTACCCTTACCTTACAGCCTCCCTTACCCTTACCTTCCAGCCTCCCTTACCCTTACCTTCCAGCCTCCCTTACCCTTACCTTCCAGCCTCCCTTACCCTTACTTTCCACCCTCCCCTTACCTTCCACCTACGTTACCGTACATTCCAGCCTCCCTTACCCTTACCTTCCAGCCTACGTTACCGTACACCCCAACCAACGGTACCGTACATTCCAGCCTCCCTTACCCTCATCTTCCAGCCTCCCTTACCTTTACATTCCAGCCTCCCTTACCCTTACATTCCAGCCTCCCTTACCTTTACATTCCAACCTGTGTTACCCGTATATTCTAGCTTCCCTTACCCTTGCCTTCCAGCCTCCCTTACCCTTCTTCCAGCCTCCTCCACCATTACCTTCCAGCCTCCCTTACCCTTACTTTCCAGCCTCCCTTACCCTTACCTTCCAGCCTCCCTTACCCTTTCCTTCCATCCTCCCTTACCCTTTCCTTCCATCCTCCCTTCCCCTTTTCCCTTTCCAGCCTCCCTTACCCTTTCCTTCCATCCTCCCTTACCCTTACCTTCCAGCCTCCCTTACCCTTACATTCCTGCCTGACTTACCCTTACATTTCAGCCTGACTTACCCTTACCTTGCAGCCTCCCTCACCCGTAACTTCCAGCCTCCCTCACCCGTACCTTCCAGCCTGACTTACCCTCACATTCCAGCCTGACTTACCCGTACCTTCCAGCCTCCCTCACCCACTGTAATCCCACTATGGGATGAAGGAGATATCTTCATAAAAAATCGATTTCTTTTGTGCATGGGATAGGCTATCATGAGAGGTGGCAATTCTCACATGACAGCAACTCCAGCTATGCTGGAACGAAGCCCTGAAGCTGCCGTATTTGGTGACCCCTTAATGGACAGCCCGTCCTCTCAACAGCAGACATCATAGCACTGTTGTAAAAACAGTCAAATGGGTGGCTGTTAATGGAGCCTTGAACATTTGAAACATGACTTTTACATGAGCCTCACGCAGCAGCTGCCTGTTTTTTATTCATGCAGCAGACTAATTTTTTATCGTCATTTATACTATAATTATAGTTCTTCAGGTTGTAACCTAACCTTATCTAACTTAACCTACTTAACATAACCTAATCTAACGTAACTTGACCTACCTGGAATCTCCTGGAGGTTATTCCGATAATCAATGCCCCCGCGGCCCGGTCCACGACCAGGCCTCCCGGTGGATCAGGGCCTGATCAACCAGGCTGTTACTGCTGGCCGCACGCAGTCCAACGTACGAACCACAGCCCGGCTGATCCGGCACTGACTTTAGGTATCTGTCCAGCTCTCTCTTGAAGGCAGCCAGGGGTTTATTGGTAATTCTACTTATGCTTGGTGGGAGGCTGTTGAACAGTCTTGGGCCCCGGACACTTAGTGTTTTCTCTTAGTGTACCAATGGCGCCCCTACTTTTAATTGGGGGTATTTTGCATCGCCTGCCCAGTCTTTTACTTTCGAGGGAATGATTTGTGTGTGCAGATTCGGGACCATTTCTTCCAGGATTTTCCAAGTGAAGATTATGATATATCTCACCTGCGTTCCAACGAGTACAAGTCTAGTGTTTCCAAGCGTTCCCAGTAGTTAAGGTGCTTGACATAACTTATACGTGCAGTAAAGGTTCTCTGTACATTCTCTAGATCTGCAGTTTCTCCTGCTTTGAACGGAGATGTTAATATACAGCAGTATTCCAGCATAGAGAGAACAAGTGATTTGAAAAGGATCATCATTGGCCTGGCATCTCTCGTTTTGAACGTTCTCATTATCCATCTTTGCACTTGTGATCGTGGCAATGTTGTGATCCTTGAAAGTGAGATCCTCAGACATTACTACTCCCAGGTCCCTTACATTATTTTTCCGCTCTATTGTATGGCCAGAGTTTGTAGTATACACTCTGTTCTAGTTATTATCTCCTCCAGTTTTCCATAATTGAGTTGTTGGAATTTGTCCTCATTGAACATCATATTGTTTTCCGTTGCACACTGGAAAATTTGGTTTATATCTTCTTGGAGGTTAACCGTGTCCTCAATAGAGGACAGCCTCATGCAGATCCTAACCTAACTTAACTTACCTACAATAGCCTAACCTAGCCTAACCAAAACTAACCTAACCTTACCTAACGCAACCTAACCTTACCTAACACAGAAACAGGCTGCAAATCCTATGTGAAAGTGTGACAATTATTAGGATGGGTTGTAATAACATACTTGAAGATATCCTTACTGCTTGCTGGTCTCCCAGCTCTGACAGACATATTTTCAACACTTTGTACGAGTCCCAGCTTGAGTGATGGAACATGACTGGTAAAAATGTTAGATTTTGTTCCCATTCTGTGACCATCATATTAAAAAGGTACCAACACACTTCGGATATATTAGATTTTGCTAAATAAATGAAAAAATCTTAAATCCCATCCTCCTTTACCCCATTGTTTTCTTACCCCGTCTTCCTTTACCCCCCAACTTCCCCCGTAAGCCCCCACCTTCACCTTATCCCTATCTTCCTCTTACCGCATTTTCCTCTTATCCCACCTTTCCTTTCCCAGAACTTTTCTCTTAAGTCCACCTTCCTCTATCGCATCTTCCCCTGTCTTGGCTTTAACCCCACTTTCCTCTTAACCCCAACCCCATCCTATCTCTCTCTCTGGCGTTAAGCATCAAGACAGGAATTATACAGCATTGACAGAAGGAAAAGGAATAAGGTTTGCCTCCCAGGGACGAAGATTATAGATATCGACGACAGATTTCAAGATTTAGCAATAGATGTCCACCGCGACACGATCTGCGTGACTCGCCTGGGTAAAAATATTTTAGTAAAAGATACGTAAGAGAGAGATTTTAAGCTTATATAAGAATCTCATCAAGAAATATAAAGTTAATATTTTTTAACAGATTTTAATCCTAGAATATTGAGTCTAATTTCAAAGGAAACTGGTGGGGTTAGATCCCAGACCAGTGGGTTCTAACACCACATGTATTGTGGTTTGTGTGCAATCGTGTTATTACGATTTCGTGAGTTTGGATTAGATTCTTACTACATTAGTCTATCCGTACAGCAGGAGATTAAGGAGCTTTTGACCTCATTTTCTTTTTTCAGTCACTAAAAAGATTAAGAAAGAAATTCTGTATTTTGATGAAAATAATTAGGTGTCTTTACAATGAGTGAAAATATAAAAAAGTGGGCGAATATGAATGTTAAGTAAATAGTATGAAGTCAAACGTACCTAAGAGAAGGACAACTACAGGAAAAATGGTAATATTTAATGAGCATTTCGGGAGAAAAAGGAAAAGATAATTTTTTTCAATACAAAATTTATATTGATATCAATAATTTTTGGGAATAAAACGTGGTTCACAGTACATATTTTTTTTTAAATTGGAAGAAAGAGAAGTGTAGAGGAGAGTGAGATTTTTGGGAGACTGGGGGGGGGGCACCCAGTACGTCATTTTTATTTCCTGTGCCCCACACAACGATAAATCCTGCATTTTATCCATAACCAGCCAAAAGCCCTGTAGCTTACCTCCAATACAAGTCCCCAACAGCATCCAGAATAAACCACCAATTGTAAATGTCAACCAATCAGCGTGAAGGGTCCAGCTCCAGGTTAGTTGACCTTATAACTATACCCAGGTCTAGAGGCCAGTCTCTCACTAGGATCAGAATGATTATTAACACATACTGAGTTCTCTCTACAAGAGCTATTGCCAGTGAGTGTACTATTTCTTGGTATTACTCTCATATTACGTTGCCCATAGTATGGTATCTGTTAATTTTATTCAACATAATGTAAATATGTATATATAACTTTGGTGGGAATATACGAGTACTCAGAAATAACCTCTGGTGTATGGT